CTCACAGAGATCCACCTGCCTTTGCCTCCTGAGTGTTGGGATTAAAGGCATGCACCACCACCATGTTTTAAAGTGATCTTTTGAGCTCCTAAATTGTGTGAGTCTTAAAAATATTTTTAAATAGAGACAAAAACTCAATTTTAATGACATGGGAGAAGAGAAGAAAGCTTAGAGTTGCTTTCCTTCATTCATCAAATACTTATTTGCTTCTGGTTAAAATTTGAAGATGAATTAGAAGTAGATTCTGTATTCACATGGAATTTATAGAAGGGGTTAAAACAGGAGCAGGAATAAGTATATTGCAAAGGAGAAAAACAATGAGTGAGAAATAACTTATTTCTTTGGCAACGGGGAGAATTAGGAGTCTTTAAGCAGCAGGCATTGTTCCCAACACAAAAGTGTAAGCTGCTTCTCAGTATGCCTTCTTTTACCGACTGTCCTATCCCTGCCATTCAGATGTACTAGAAAAGCACACACCCACTGATCGGTAGATGTTTGTTATCTGGTGACAGAATGTTATTATATATGCAGGTTAGGAAGAGCTATGGACAATCAGTAAAGGAACAGATTTAAGAAACCATCCTGAGTGAGGTACCCCAGTCACAAAAAGACAAAACATGGTATGTACTCACTCATATATGGATTTTAGACATAGAGCAAAGGAGTAGCAGCCTACAATCCACACAGCTAGAGAAGCTAGGAAACAAGGAGGACCTTAAGAGAGACATACATGTTCCTACCCAGAAAAGGGGAAAGGGACAAGATCTTCTGAGCTAATTGGTAGCATGGGGGGAGGAGAGAGGGAGTTCAGAGAAAGAGAGGGGGAGAAGAGGAGGGGAGAGGAGGACTTGAGAGAGCAGGAAGATAGAGTCAGGGGAAGAATAGAGGAGAGCAAGAAAAGAGATACCATAAGAGAGGGAGCTATCATAGGTTTAAAGAGAAATCTGGCACTAGGGAAATGTCCAGAGATCTACAAGGTTGACCCCAACTAACAATCTAAGCAATAGTTAAGTGGCTACCTTAAATGCCCTTCCCTGATAATGAGATTGATGACTACCCTATATGCCATCCTATAGCCTTCATCCAGCAGCTGAAGCAAACAGAAACAGACACCCACAGCTAAACACTGAGCTGAACTCTGGAATCCAGTTGCAGAGAGGGAGGAGTGATGAGCAAAGGCGTCAAGACCAGGCTGGAGAAACCCACAGAAACAGCTGACCTGAACAAGGGGTTGCTCATGGACCCCAGACTGATGGCTGGGAAACCAGCATAGGACTGATTCAGACCCCCTGAATGAGGATGTCAGTTTGGGGGTCTGGTTAATCTATGGAGCCTCTGGTAGTGGATCAGTATTTATCCCTAGTACACGAATGGACTTTGGGAGGGATACTCCACACCGAGGGATACTCTCTCAGCTTAGACACATGGGGGAATGTCTGGGCCCTGCTCCAAATGATATGACAGACTTTGAAGATCCCTCATGGAAGGCCTCACCAACCCTGAGGAGTGGAAAGGGGATGGGATAGGGGGTCGTTGCCAGGCAGGAGAGGAGGGGAGGGAGAGGGAATTGGAACTGACCTGTAAAATAAACTTGTTTCTAATTTAAATAAAAAAGGAAAAAATATATATACATGTATGAAATTGTCAAAGAATAATTTTTTTTAAATTATGCTGGCTCTGATGAAGTATTTTTTTAATTTTAAAAAATGTGTTTTGGTAGCTCCCAAATCTTTACATTACATCATCAGAAGAACTTTGTTCTGGACAGCTTTATCTGCATGTATTGGTAACTGACTGGGAGACATTATTTACCTGGGTGGTTTGTGGGGCCCCATCAGCTAATTGCTCCCTGGTTCCACCATCATTAATGCTTTCACTGGATGGAATGAGTATCTATAACCCTAGCTACAGATGCTTGTTTGTATTGTGACCAGGTGGACTTATCTGTGTGCTTCTCTTCACTATAATGAACCATCTTTATCACTGACAGTCCATGACTTCTAATTATCCCCAGTGTCTCATTTCCCTTCTACTACAATAACAGAACATTGCAAGTTTGATACAGCCAAAGAGCTACCAGTTAGAACCCCCACTTCCCCTTCCTTCTTCCAATAAGCTGTGACTTTAAGACTTGGCTTTAGCCATGGACTTAAGCAGACGTGACAGGAGCTGCTTCTGGGACATACATAACGAACCTGTTTGTTCTGCATTGCTGGTTACTGAATTTTTTTCCAACATGTCAACGATATATTGAAGATTGTATCCTTTTGGAATTCTGTAGCTTTCTTGGCCTATTTTCTGATGGGCCTGGAATCAGAGCCTACAAATAACATCATCACAGCCTTGGGTCCATATTCTAACTTGCAGTGTGTGTATGTTTAAGACAGTGTCTCCATATGCACCATAGACTTCCTTTAAGCTTCCTTTGTAGCCTAGGCTATCCTCAAGGGTTGATCCTCCTTCCTTTGCCTCCTGAGCATGAGGTTATAGTGTGCTTCACTATGCCTGACCTAACTAGTACTCTGATAACATGTATAAGTGCAGAAAGTGTCCTCTTTTACCTGACATACGGGAATAACACCGGCTAAGCAGTTTTTGGTTATGGGCTCCATAATCATTGTCTAAGAAGGAAAATGAATTACAAATATTCAAATCTTGTATCTTCTTTCAACCTTTAATGGGAAACATTGTATCAATGTGAATTTGGTTATTATTGTTTGATTGAAGATGTCTGAGATAGCTTATTTCTATTGGGACCAAAACAGAAGTTTAAGCAACCAAAGAAAGAAAACAAAACAAAACAAAATCCAAAACAAAAAACAAACAAAAATACTGCTTAAGACCACTTGTCATTGGGATTTTAGGAAATTATTGTCACAAATAATAACTGTATCCAGTTATCATCATTTCATAAATAATTTCTATAATTCTTAGGGCATATTCTGTGTTTTTTCTTGGAAGAAAACTGAAATATAACCTAGACTTGCAGAGAGAAGGGGAGTGTGACATCTGAGACGTGGCTTTGGGTTGGCTTTGAGAACATGTGGCTCAAATTAAAAGATGAAAGTTGGCATATGTGTCTGAATAGAAGTAATCCTTCAGAGCGAGAGATATGCCTAACTTTATAATGTGACAAAAATCTACATCACAGAACTCAAAAGAGGTGAAATAAAAGTATTGACTGTAGAAACAGACTTTCCTGTTTCCTGTAACTCTGAAGTTAGTTTTTTCAGATTGTTTCAAAGAATATCAAATACCGTGAATCAAACCCCCCCCACACAAATAAAAATATGATTCCGTTTAACAGCATAGGAATCTGAGCTGCAAGTCTATGGGTAATCTACTTTATTTGTGTCCTCTAAGTATGTGTTTAGGTAGTATTAGGCTTGCGATAAATAAGTAAAAAAAATGGGACAATGGAGAACACTATTAAGGTAATATATTGAATAATAATATCCTCTCAAGTTGTAAATTGTACAAATTTGAAAATACTAAATTACATTTAGTATTTAATTTCACATTCCTAAACAGTGCCTACTCAAGAGACAAACTTGGTTTAGCATACCAAATTAGAGGCTATTTAATAAATAAGGAGGCTTAAAAGTAGTGTTATGCATGCAGATAAACCATTTGTGTGCCTTTAAATATTTTCTCCCATTCGTGTTAGGAATATTTTATTTTTATTGCCCAAGTAATAAAAATGAAATAGGACTTGTATTAGTAGGGACACTTGAAATACAGCTCATATTATTTAAAAATGTATTTAAAGGGCCTATCAGGAACCAGTTTTCACATAAGCAGCTTTTGAACACTTCAACAGAGTAATACCCTTTTGTCAGATGTGGTTGAAGTGTAAGACATTCTAAAATGTTCCAGATGAAATAAGTTACATTAGATTATTGATGAGTTTATGTGTTCCAGCTGTATACTGCTTCGTGTTAAAATTTCGCATGCCTATGACTTCTCAGAATTCTCACTCTAGAGGGCCTGTTACTGAGGGGAAACAAGTTACGATCCAAGAAGGATAAGGATTTTTTACCCCTCACTTTGAGTTAGAAAAGCTTAAGTGTAATTTGGGTTTAGCGGTGAAAGCACAATTTCTCGTGAAGGTGCTTGTGAACGAGCCTGTATGTCCCCAAAGCTTTCTAACCATCTGGTCTACCTCTCTGCACACTTGTGGGCAGGCTGGGTTACTGACAAGAGTCATCGCCAGTTCTGGCAAACAGAACCCAGGACCTGGGCTGGGAATCCATCCTCAGGCCCTTACATCCACCACAACAACCTGGTGTCCCCCCGACTGGGGGAGCAAGTGCGTTCAATTGAGGAAGATCACTTACGACTGAGTTTTTCATCATGGCTTTGACTGTGAAGCCCTCAGAAACCAGGGAATGAGGCTGGTGCACCGGGAGCGGCTGTTGTGGCAGCAGTTTGGTCCTCTTCGGCATCTTGTCTTGACATTTGTTTAAGGTCAGGGTCTCTTTTTCTGCCACCATCTTCCTAGAATACGTTTGGTTTTTTTCTTTTTCGGTTCTTGTCAAAAGTGTGGCAGACAAACCAGTGGGCTTTACAGATGTGAGCAGGAGGTCGGGGGTGGGGGAAAAAAAACGTAAAAAAGGCGAGTTACTGGTAGAAATTCAACCCCTCGTGGTACCCAGGGGGATCCAGATGTTTGGCAGCTCCAAGGTGAAGGGTGTTTAGGGGAGGGGAGGGGCGGGAAGAGGGCTGGGACCCGAGGCTTGAGCCGCTACAAGCTTCCAAAGGTGAGCCTCCTGGTTGCTAAGCGACTTGTCAACACTTAGGCCCGATAGTCCCGCCCCTTCGTGACGCACGTTTCCTGGGTCTTAATCCGGAAAGGGCGAACGGCGGGTGGCGGCGGCCGCCTCCGGAGTGTGTGAGTGTGTGTGGGCGGAAGACTCTTACGCGTTAAAACTACGACTCCCAGAAGGCACCGCGCTCGGGGGCGGGGCGGGGCGCGCGCACGCGCACTGAGCCTGCCGTGGGGAGGGGGGCGGGACCGCGCGGGGCGGCGAGCCCGGGATGACCGCCTAAGGCCTGGGAGAAACGCTGGTGGGAGGCTCGGGCGGGTGCCGGCGCCCGCGGCGCAGGCCGTGCTCGCCCCGCAGCCACCACCCGCCCGGTGACCATGATAGGTACGTGGGTGCCTGCCAGGTACAACCTCTCCGCCGCGCCGCCCCGCGCCCGCGCGTGGCGCCACGTTGTGACACCCCGCGGGTCCCGGCGGGGGCTCGCCCGAGCCACCACCTGTCAGTGACGGGGCGGAGGCGTGTGCGCCGCGCTCCCTGGGCCCCGGGGGGCCGGGCCAGGGGCCGGGTCGGGTGTGTCCTCGAGCATACGTGCCCAGTGCCCAGTGCCCACCCTGCCCTAGCCGAGGTTAGCCCGGTGCTCCCTGGAAACGGCTTCCCCGCCGACACCCGGGTGCACCACGGCGCCCCCCAGCGGCCGGGCTCGTCCCGTCCTCCCTCCCGCCTGGGCAGCAGCCTGCAGCTTTTTCTCCTCCACCCCCACCCCCACCCCGGGTGACATCCAGCCCAGCTCTGGTTGTTTCTGTCGCCCTCAAGGTCCCTCGTCCTCCACTTAGGTTCAGGTTCAGGCACTGCAGGACTTCAAAGCGTCCCCCACCCCCATCCCCCAAGGAAGCACTCGACTGGTGGAGGGAACGGGCTCGCCAGGGGTTGCCCTTTGCTCCTTGAGTTCGTTCTGTCGTTTTAAATGTCTCCTCGAAGATCTGAGGCGGAAAGGGTAGCGGAGGAGAGTAGGAAAGTAGCGGAGATGGGATCTGTCCCCGAGTGCAGCTGGATGAGTGAGGCTTTGGGAGCGGCCGCTAGGGCTGTTGGAAGCAGAAAAGCTGGAAAGGTCCTTGGAAGATGTCAGACTCCCAGCCACTTTGGGGGTTCTCCAGAGTGAGTTGAAATGCACAGCCATGTTGGGCGAGCACTGAAGGTTTCCTTTCTGTAGACTCCTGCAAATGGTGTCTTGACGCTTCAGTGAGCTTGTTTAGGATAGATGCTCGAGAAAGGGTATGGCATCCTGGCACATTTGAAGGGGATCTATCCCAGATGTGCCCGGAAGACAGGTGACAGGTGGCTTTATGAAATTAACGCTTTACACGGTGCAAGCTCCTAAGTCTGCTTTTTACTTACGGAAGTAAGGGTAAAGTGTGCAGCTTTCACCCCTCACTGGGGGAACCATGCCAGGTCACCTACATCCTCACTGAGGCAGAGGTGTGTTTTTCGTGAACGAACTAGAAACTTGTTAAGTTGTAGAGGAGCTACATATTTTGTTTTTAATGAATCTTACTGAACCTTTTAAGTGACGTTTACTTAAGAGCTGATTGTAAACACAAACCTAAACTTGAGTCCTTGAACCAAGTGGGAGAGATTAGAAAAAGAAATTATTAGTTTGAAGACAATTGCGCAATGTAGTTTCTTCCAACTTAGTTTATGGGTGATTTTGAGAAGCAAATATCCCATATAGCTATAGACAGAAAATTAAGAATTAGAAATAATTATTTTTGTAAAGAGTGTAATAAAATATTATAGTAGTAACTCTTAGACAGTTAGAACACATTTAGACAGTTTTGGTAAGGTTTATCTGGAACTCTCTTAATAAGAAGTGTGATATCTGGATGCCACAACTAAATCTATTACAAAAAAAAAAAAACCAAGGGAAATGCAAGGGGAGTTTTAAAACTGTTCCTTTTCTTTCTCTCACTACTGTTGTGGTAGGGTGAATGAGTGTGCATTTCAACACAAGTGATTAAACCCCTGTTCCCCACCCCAAGGAAAAGGAACTTACTTATTAATAAAACTGCATAAACAATGTTAAATAAATGAATTATTTAGTTCTACTGGTTTTATTGCCTAGTTCCTTCCAGGAGACTTTTTGTATTTTTGTGACTGATCTTTGAGCCGGGAAACACAGGCAAACAGTCTTTATCCAGACAAGTCTATTGCAGGTCAAAGGACACATAAATACCTCTAGGAACCGAACGGTGTCTTATACTGCCCAGCACTAGTCAGTATAAAGACTTTTATACTATAATCTGCCTTTTATACCTATAATCTGCCACCTTGCTGTATCCTCCTAGTGCAGGCAACACACCTGCTCTTGCACTGAAGTCCTTGCTTCCCTTTGAGAAAAAACCCCTTGACTGATTTCCTGGCCAAATATGAGGAAAGGGGACAAACACTTCATTACCCATAAAATAATTTCCTTTTTATTGTTTCAAAATAGAGGGTTCCCATCTTGTCATGGAGATGGCATTAAAAGTACTTACATTTCCCACTTGGGTTATGACTGACATGATAAATGCCTTGACCCAGACAGACTTAAACCATGATTTAATTGAAGTCGATGAAAAATTCTGCCTTCGCAAGGCATGGGGAATGGATTCACAATAATGAAATGCTTCAGAAATTTTAACTGAGAAAAAATGTAATTTTGAGCACCTCTTTTACATTTTTTTAATCTTTAAAAATTAGCACTTCTTTGTGTTTAAAATTGAATTTTGGTGGTGACAATTGTGAATTGTTCTAAATGTCCTATGCTTTTAGGCATTTGATAATATCAGCTATTAAAGTACATGGGTTCTCACACAATTAAAATATGAAGTTCTTAAACTAAAACCCAGTGGGTTTTTTGAAATAGAAACGTAACTCAGTGATATAACCTAGGATTCCTAAGACTGTGGGTTCCATTCAAAAAGTGTTGTGCTTTTAATTGATGAAAGTATTATTTTCTGTATCTTGTTAAAATCTTCTACAGAGTTTAACTGTCTGTATATAAATATGACTCTCATTCCAGACTGAAGTCAAATTTGTAAGACACATTAGTTAGGAAAGTGTCCTCTCTTCTAAATGAGTGTACAGTAGTCATAAGGCCTTTGGGTGTGCACACTGCACAGGTGTCTTTGGGGGCCCTGTCCTCTCCGACAGCGTAGAATTCATTTTATTATCACTTGTCAGAAAGCATTTTTTATTGTGCTGTTCGTCGATAAAGGGTAGACATTTTACTTTGAAAATGAGTTTTAGGAAAAGTAATTCATTTTATAATGGTTTAGTTTTACAAAAGCAGATTCCAGCAGTTAGCATGTATACATGTTTGGTACTGTTAGTCGGTGCCAATGATAGAAGAATGGAATGAACTGAAAAAAAAATACTTTGTCGTTGTAAATATTCTATCTATGTTGACTAATGGCCAACAGCTGGTTTTGTTTTACAACTTGTATGCAGGGTTTTTTAAGTCTTAGAATTCCTAGTTGAATTTGGATACACTAGGCATTGCTGTTTGCCCTGTCACTTTAATAACATTAGATGAAAGAAACTTATGTATAAATACTGTTTGTTCAGAGGAACCCTTGTGCCTCTGTGTCACAAAATGAGTTCTACAAAATTTTTGTATAGAAGAGTTTATATAATTTTATTCAGTCCTCTTTTGGGTCCAAAGCCTCTGAAAAACCTTATGCCCTTTACAAATGTTATTCTGTTTCTAAAGGTTTTTCTGAAGTCTGCATTTTTTCTTTTTTAATCCAAAGCTCTATGACTTGGAAATGATACAGTGGAAGTACTCTGTACTAAGATATGCAAATCCCTCCCTCCCTCTAAAGCTTCTTTGAACCTCCACCCCATCCCTGGAAAAGGGAAAAAGAAAAAGGAAGAAAGGAAGTTATTTCAAAATGCTTAATATTCATGAACCAGGTTCAATGCAAAATACCTTCTTGTGTTAGCTTTCAGTCCTTTGATCAATGAGAATTGTTTCTTACCTGCTGTTTCTTCAGTCTTTAATGGTAGCCCAGTGCTTATTCAATGTTTCTGTTTTAATTTGCATTTAATGAGCTCATTTTAAATGTTTCTTTGTAGTAATCTGAATTGTTTCCTTCTTACATTTATAATATTAAAGACTGAGATGTATATAGCAGCTAGCTGATTTATATTACAGCCCCCATCATGGCTTATTTACTTCCTCTTATAGGGGAGAATTGTGGTTAAAAGGAATGCAGTTAACAGTAGTGGTTCCCCTAGGACTGTATTTCCTGATCGCTTAGGATTCTATCAGGCTGATCCAATCTCACCAAAAAGCATGTTTTTCTTTCTTGAATTAATAGATATTTCAATTGACAGTGATTATTCTAGTATCATTTCTGCACAGGACTATTTCGTGTGTGTGTGTGTGTGTGTGTGTGTGTGTGTGTGTGTGTGTGTGTGTGTGTGTGTGTTCTGTAGGGAAGGACGAAGAAATAAGAAACCATTTATGCCATGAGTTGTGATTGAGTTGAGTTGAGGACTCGTGCATATGGTATACAGATTTTACCCTGTCCGTTGCAGAAGCAGAGTGTGGTGTTTACATATTCATCCGACCACACATGGGAACTGTGTTCCACTGTGTACTCAGTTTAGATATAATCTTTATATATGATACAAGCAGAGTGGTAGGATGAAAGTCTAATACCAGACAGTACCCACTCTTGTTTATTTAGGAACTGATAAGCTGCCCAATGGGTAGACAAAAGAATTTCTTCTTTCATTTTGATGCCTCCCTGCCATAATTTTCTTCATTTGTCATATATATATATATGCATATGCGCTGTGGATGGTATCTGCCACATCTTATTACATGGAGACTTTGTGTCATACTTTCATTTTCATCATTTTTATTTCAGAGAAGTCACCAAACAAACTAATAGTCAGTTAGGGATTGCTTAAGTTTTACAACAGATTCATAAACTTGCCTTTAGATGCCTATGGTGTATGGCCATTGTCTCAGTGAAGGTCACTATTGCTGTGATGAAACAGTATGACCAAACCAACTTGGAGAGGACAGGGCTTATTTGGTTTACACTTCCACATCACTGCTTATCCTTGAAGGACATCAGGGCAGGAACCTGGAGGCAAGCAAGATTTTATGCACAGGCCATGGAGGGGAGCTGCTTACTGGCCTGCTCTCCGTGGTTTGTTCAGCCTGCTTTCTTATAGCACCCAGGATCTTCAGCCCAGGATGGCACCACCCACAATGGACTGGGCCCTCCCCTATTGATCACTAACTAGGAAAATGCCCTACAGGCTTGCTTACAGCCTGATCTTATTGAAGCATTTTCTTAATTGAGGATCCCTCCTCTCAGATGACTTTAGCT